GAAGTAATACTCTGAACTTAATCACATCAATCGAATTCTCGAGTGTTGATACAATCATAAATCCTAGCTATACGAACAATTTGGTATGTGGTAGAACTCTCTATCAATAAAGTGGTGAAGTGTTGCACTTCAATAGAAAATTTGTTAAAGACTCTATTCAGAGAGATAATGATTAAGTGTGTACAACAAAACAAAAAGTATTAAGTGTGAGTTATGTTAAAATGGGCATTGCTTGGGCCGAGTTAAGTAAAGACTGGCTACCTAGTGATTTACAATGTGATTTGACAAAAGACATGCTCTAAAGAAAGAAAGTTGATCTAGCTAATATTACGTTTGTTATATTGTATAGAGTGAAGGAATAAATGCATATTTATAGGAGGTTCAATAATTATTGTTAAAGAAGGAGATTATTGGAGATGTGAACATGATTCACCCATCAATTAGAAGTGGGAATAAGACCTACGGAGAGACTATGGACTATGGAGACAATCAATGCAAGTGGGGGAGGGAGGGATACCATTTCAAACTCAAGCCCATTAGAAAAGACCGATCTAGTTCATGACTTAACAATTAGAACTAATCATTAGAATTAATCATGAATTCATCTAGTTCATAGCCTATTAGAAATAGAAGGTGTTATGTTAGGATCCTCACAGACCRGAAAAAAATGTACAAGACCATAAYTAATATAGAGTTATTTTTTCTAGATCAAAAATATAGGATTCAAACCTGTCAACTTTWGAAAAAGAAGTAGACGTATTAATTGTTGAAGTATCCTCATATTGATATAATTGTTGTTATTAGAAATTTTGTACATGTCTTTAGTATTTGTTTAACTAGTGGGGGACATAATTTATTGGAAAAAAAATAAACAAATTTATACGAATCAAAGCTCAAAACTCTTTCCAAAAAAGCATTTGAAATTTATATCTTAGAGAATAGCTTCTTTTTTTTTTATATTGAAAATATATTTTATCATTTTTTAATTAAAAAACATGTGAATGGAGAGACAAAGATAGGGATGTCCATTTGGGCATAACTCTCGTGACTTTATTTTTCTTTTCACCCAGAAGGTTCATCCCAATAAAAATGTAATGTTTTCCTTTCTTATTTCTTGTTTCCAATTTTATTAAGAAATTTAAGCATTTGATAACTATTTGTGTTTTTTCTCACAGATTTTGTAATTGAATCTCAATTTAAAAAATTGTTTTGTTTAGCAATATATTTGTAATATATTTGTAAACTAGGGGTAGTTACAAACTAAATTTTAGTTTAAACTAAATTTATATTAATTAATTTATTAACATTTTTTATGAATTTTGTATAATTATTATCTTACAAGGTTATATAATTTCGAATACATTATATTTTACGTGTTTTAATTTTAACAAACATAAAATGAGTTTATAATATGAAGTAATATATTTTATAAATTTTTTTTATCATTTTTAATGTAATTCTGCATCTTAAAAATTTCGAATTCTGAATATGAAAACGCTAAAACATAAAAAAGTCGTTTTCAGAATTTCTATTGTTTGGATCACAGAATCCGAAAACAGTTTTAAAAAATGAATCTCCAAAATCCTGCTAAATGCGTATTTACTGAATTCATTTGATTAAGTGAATCTGAAAACAAAAAACATAATCYGAATTTCCAACCAAACAGGCTCTTAGTACTCGTTTGTCAACGTTATGGTTTCTTGTTTCTCGTTCCAATTTTCTTAAAAAATTCAGGCATTTTACAACTAAGTTTGTTTCTTGTTTCTCCTCTTTTGGAAACATTTTCACAATTGTATAGAAATTTAAGGAACAACTAAAACAAGTTTCTCATTTAATTTCTTGTTCACATTTCCAATTTGTTCCAAAACRTAAATAAAAAGATTGATTTATCATAGTAAAATTCTTGGAGGTTGGAACTATGCAATACATTTTTCTTCATTAAAAATAAAGAAACAGGAACAAGAAATAGGAACGTTACCAAACGAGCTCTTAGTTTCTTGTTTCTTGTTTCCATTTCCAATTTATTCCAACATAAATAAAAATCTTGTTTTATCATATTTACATCTATAAATATTGGGGTTGCATAATTATATTCTCTTTTTATTGAAAAATAGAAACAAGAAACGAAAATATTACCAAAAAAAGACCATAGTGTAATGGGGTTTTATAAACTATATCGGACTGTGAGAAAATGTAATATATTACCATAGTATGGAGTAATCCTTACCCTATGCCTCAGCGGCAAGAAATTATTTTCCAATTTAGAATATTCTATGATTTGTTTATCTAAGAGTCTTTTACTGCATCATCCATGTAATTTCTAGTTGAGCTTTCTTGGATCGGACTCTCTGACATGAGTAAAAGTATTTGTAATTCTGAACATTTTTGAAATTGAGCTCTCAAGATAAGCTACTCATATACTTATTCATCTTCTTTTGATGGATCAATTGAGAGTTGATTTCAGATCATTGTATTTATCCAACCTCCAATCACACCTAACATAAAGTGCTATAGAAATTAGTCTCATCTGTGTAATATTATTTGTTGAGTTCTTCTATTTTATCTTTCAAATATGTTAAAAAAAATATTCTTTTATTTTTGTTTAGCACATGTGGAGATAGGAGTTTAAACTCACAAGTCGAAAATATATACGATTGATCTACGTTCAGTTCAACGGAAAAAACTCTTTTTTTCTTGTTAATTCAAAGTCTTCAGGGGATTTATTATTCTTTTTCCTCCTATCGAGGGGATAACCTTTAGCTACCTTCCCATATAATAATCAATTGTCTTAATTTATACCATACTATAATTTATTTGTCCAACCAACAACTTAGTGGAATTCCAATGAAATCCTTAGTGATGTTCATTTGAGTTGATGCACCTTTTGGCACCTTCCCATATAATAATCAATTGTCTTAATTTATACCATGCTATAATTTATTTGTCCAACCAACAACTTAGTGGAATTCCAATGAAATCCTTAGTGATGTTCATTTGAGTTGATGCACCTTTTGGCACGCGGGTCCTTATAAAATACATTCAAAATTTTCCTTATACATCTCTTCAGGTTCACTTTATTTTTTAATTTTTAAAATTTATTATTATTTATAAGCTCCAATTTGTGAGAGTCATTTTGCTTCCGTTTGCAGGAATTCGGCCTAGGTGACACGTTATAAGGGCGATATGGAGTGAGCTCTCTGAAGTAGATTAGTTGGCGACTTGACAACAAAAACTTACATCGATACGGTGCTTGACTATGTATACTCCAAAACTTAAGTTAGTACTGAGTCTGAATTAGTGTCGAGCTGAACTTAGTTAAGACATAGAGAGTGCCAAGTGGAACTCTGCATTTTATAGAGAGAGCATTGGGAAGTGGCGCTTTATAGTGGCCTTGTCATTTAATAAAGTTGTCTTTTTTTCCCTACCTACATACTTTAAGAATTCTTGGGAAATTGCAATAAATAGGAATTTTATCAATAGAGTATTGTTTTTTAGTCACTATATTTTCGCTCGCTGACATCACCCCAAATCACTATCCCTCTCCTATCTG